AAGAATGTTCCATCTGGTTTCTGAATTTAGGGTCATGATGGCAGAGGTGATTTTGTGTCCGTGTATATGTGTTTTAAAGTCATTGTAAAAAACTCAAAATCCTGATAGGTAACTTTGGGCTGGAAGCATAAAATTGAAGTAAGTTGGGATGTCCTGTTGCGCTAATGAGAGCGCCAGCTCAGCCTCCTTTCAGCAGACAAGAAAACGAAAAACCATTTACACATTTATTTTAAAAATTCGTCTTTTCTCTGAAGCTCTGTAATCAAATAAAATGTCACCCTTGCCAGAGACCCCCTTAATTCATCAGATTTCGTGGCGGACATAGTGAGACCCAGTCTTACTGTGAACGTGAGACTTCGCCAGTCAGCCTTCTGGGTGTGCTGAGGGGAGAAGTGGGCCAGCACCGAGCGGCCCAGGGGAGGTACGACACCAGCCCAGGACCAGCCGTTTTCAGAATGTCAGTCTTGTAACTCTGGGAGGCTCCCTGGAGGTGAGCTGGCTAGGCGAGCAGGGGACTCAGGTCTAGATGCCAGTTGCCTCTGGGACTTGGGACCAGCTGGGAGTCAGTCTTAGCCTGGAGGGAGGAAGCTGAGTGGGTGGCACAGCGGGGGTGGGGTGGGTAGACTTTGCACTCTGGTCCAAGCGCTCTTTGTGATAAAAAAAGCCACAGAGAAACTGTGGACGATTTAAAAATAAAATTGCAGTTTTCTCCATGTGTGTGAGTGTGCGTGGATGAACTGGAATAAGCTTTTTGAATTTTGCGGTAAATGCCAACAAAGGGAAACATCTTTTAGGTGTATGGGAGGCTGGAATGCGGTGTAATAAAGTTCTGGGAGATATTCTTCAGTAGGAGGTGCAATGTGCTTTTTAAAAAAGCCATTTGAAATCTCTTGGATGACATGGAAGAAGAATTTTTCTTATCATTACTTTCAGAGGGTGAGCATATATTCGTGAGTTGGTTTTGATTTCATAATGAGTAGATGGAAGACTGCAGGAGAGAACATTTCTTCCCCAAGAACACAAAGATGATTTCGTGGATTTAGTGTTTAGAGTTCTCTGTTTTGGGGCGCACAATTTTTCTTTTTCTGCAGAACTTGCTTGCCTAATTTTGTTCATGTCCTTGGAGATACTTAATTTGAGCTTCATGCAGGTAATCGACAGGTTCACAATAAAGGTGCACTCTGAAAAGCAACAAAACTTGAAGCTTATGGTTACAGCCTCTCCCGTTTGGCAGAGCCAACACTTGAACCCCGAGGTCTTTTGATCCCCTAATTTAGAGTTTGTTTTCCCTTTAAGAGTATGAAGAATTCTGTAATTTATAGGACTCCTTGAATGAGAGGGAGCATGTGGAGCGATTCAGAAGTCCTGCCAACACCTAACTCCAGTGTCCCAGAGGCGTTCGCCATTTGTCGCAGTGCTTCTGACAGCATTGCTCGCTTTCTGTGTCAGGACATTTTTGTAAGCATTAATGTGGATCATCTCATTTACTCTCCCCTACCTTTTGTATTTTATTTCTCCCATTTTACAGAAAAGGGACCTGAGGTTTAGAGGTTAGCTGGCACTTTGCCTACAGTGATAGCCAAGAAGCGGTGGACTGGAATTGGAGCTCAAGTCGGTCTGATCCCAAGCCTGTCCTTAACCTCCAGGAACTGGGCTTCCAGATGAACTCTCAGCCAGTTTACAGTAAAGTAAGCAGGTCATGCCAGGGCTTTTGTTTTTTTCAGTTGTTTTTTTCCCCCCTCCTCGATGACCTAGTTCACTATGCCCAACTATTTGATCTTCCTGGGTATTGGTGTCCATTTAATGTCTTTTAGTTTGAATTTTTTTTTTAAAGATT